CAAAATTATTGTCCACGATCTGTGTCCAAACGAACCACAGCGAAAAAAAGGCAAGAGATACCGTCGTTTTAAAACGTTTCTTAAGATTTTGTTAAATCTTGTGAATGGCAACTGCAAGACGCTATGATCTCTATGAAAAATGGATATCTTAGTTGTTGAGAGCCTCGCAGGGGTTTGGGGGGACAAGGGCACATGATCATTTATTTCAAGCCCGAACAAGGGATATTTTAGGGGTAAATTTGAGGAATAAGGGATATTTCTACTATTAAGGGAACTTTGACAAAAAAACAAAATAATAATAATAATAATGATAATAATAATAATAATAAAGAGACAATGTAATTTATCGGGAACATGCCCTCGTTGTTGGATAGGCAGTACAACAAATGAGCAACCAATTTTCATAAACGCGACATGATGGTTTTTAAAAAGCAGGAGTCTTCCAAAAGAATATGAAGAAAACGTGACAAGGCAAACGCACCGGTGTTGTGGTCTGGTCTTTGCCCATTGTGCTGTTGAAATGCTCGGAGACATTAGTTGATAAAGCTACTCTACAATCTGAGGGTAAATAAAGTATACTACTACTACTACTACTACTACGACGACGACGACGACGACGACGACGACGACTACTACTACTACTACTACTACATAGAGACATTAGCTGGGATCCAGACATTAGCTGGGATTAGGACGCATTATTGAGTAGACATGAACAAAAGATTAATACTTACTGGTTCCATAAACCTGCGTGTAAATGACAATCAACAAAAGGGACAACACATGGAATATACGCATCTTGAGGCAGGCTCTCCTTGTTTAGAAGAGAACCACAAACTCGCTACAACGGCGGAACTCTGCGATTTATGAAACAGGCTTTTGTTGCATTATGTATTTATACCTTCAATTTAACTGACGTTCATCTAGACAAACAAAATAATTTTATCAGTTTAGGTTTTTGGGATGAGATTAATTCACTGTGTTAACATTTGCTCAATTTGGTATACCTAAAAATTTATCAAAAGTTGAAATGCTTCTTGGGAAAAATTAAGCTAACTATTTGAACATGAAATATATTGAAATTAGATTGCTCTTATAATAAAACCTTTCATATGAAAAAAAAATGGAACATTTTAATTTGGTGTTAAGAAAATCAGGATTGAAGTGAACCGATAACTTGAGAAAAAAAAACACAAAAAACAAAAAACAAAACAAAATCAACGTCCCCGGCTAGGCTTGAACCATCAACCTTTCGGTTTAAGCTGAATACGCTAACCGATTGCACCACGGAGACAAGCGAAGATGGTCTTGACTAAATACGTTAAAAATTTGTATACTGAGTGAAAATTAATTTAAAATGTTTCTTAAGTTGCCAAATTTTAAAATTGTTTTTTAACCATTCAAGCTCTTTTTGCGCCTGTTACCTAATGCAAGAATAAAAAACTTTCTTCTTAAAAAACCTTTTATCCGCATCTTCCAGTTTAGTGACACCGGTTGACTGAACTCGATCAAAGACTCAAAATCGGTATTTTTTTCGTCTTCCCTGTGGCTGACTAGTAAAATATTGGACTATCAAAAAATATGTATCTTCTCGGTAATCGTATTTATTATTAATAATAAAGATTTGTATGGTGCAAATTCAACAAAAGTTTTCAAATACGCCTCATAAAGTGTTAGAACCAATGAGTAAATAATTCAATGAGACTACCAATGAAAATAGACTTTTGCCCCGCTGAACGCCTGAACCGTACAGGACATTTTACACATTGTTAGCGTACTTAGGTGAGTGAATTCGGCAAATTAGTTTTAAAAACGTTAAATTACTTGCCATGCAGACCAAGTGAAAGTTTGTTAATAAGGTGTCAACAATTTTTATTAGTTGAATAAATTGCTCTAGCATGAAATGTCATTCATTTCCCGTCCTCATCGCCTCTGGCCTGCGGATCAGACTGAGGGCGGGAGATGGCTGACGTTTCAGGCTAAAGATGCTGCTCTTTTTCTTGCAGCTGTGTAAACGAAAGTGACTTATATATAAAATTATCCGATATTAAAAAATCAGTCC